TTCAGGATTAAAGCAAGGTGCCTGTTTTCCAGCAACCACAAAGAACTCTCCTTTTGAATGGCAAGTTCCAGACTTTTGGCCGAGTGGTGGTTGAAATGACAAATTACACAACTGGCACACAGCCCCTTTGTTTCATCCCTCTTGGGTAGATGCCATTCAGTGCAATGATTTATCTGCACTGAGTTTGTCACTTTGGTCTAGAACAGTGGTTCTCAACATTCCTAATGCCACAAACCTTTAATAGAGTCCAAAGGGGGCAGCAGCACACAGGTTAAGAACCGCTGGTCTAGAACCGCTGGTCTAGAACATCGTGTGTGCTTACGACAGAGTGATTGGCTGCTTCTGCCCTGGGTGCCTGCCTCACATCATGCTTTGTACACAGTGGGGCAAAGACATGCTTCTTCTTTTCTGCTGTTTCTCTTACTTCTTGTGCCAGATATTACTTTTTTCTTGAGCTCCAATGTTTTAAAGCAGTTTGCCAGATTGTTGTGACTAGTTTCTTTAAAAACAACCCCCCCCCGCCAAAAAAAACCCCTCTGAGTTGGCCAGAGGACCATCCTGGGCTCCAATATTGAGGCCATCCATGCCTGGTCTTTGCAAACTTGTCATGGGCTACTGTGTGCATGTGCACATTGTTGCTTAAGTGTCGCGTTTTCCACCTATACAATGGGGGTATAGAATGCTGGGGTTGTGAAAAGTGCCCAGAACTCCCTTGTTCATCCTGGGAGCCTCTTCCTTATTATGGCATTTCATGCAAAGAGCTTGGGGCCAAGTAGTGGAGGCAGTGTAATAGGGTGCAAAGTGTACTGGACTGGGAATCAGACCAGGCAGACATACCTTGTTGGTTGACCTTGGGTGAGCTACTTAAAGTTTTTGAGCATTTTTTGGTTTTCTCACCTGAAAAATTGGATTAGATCTTCATAAAGAGCTGGAGGCTGGATCTACCCAAGCTGTTTTGGGGCCAGGCCTGAAATACCTTATAGATGCCACAGTTTCAAGCTGACTCCATGCTAGGTGTCTCTCCTCCAGGACAATGATCCTTTTGGCAGGACACCTAGGTGATGGGGATGGAAGCATGAAGTATGGGGCCCAGAGAGGATGATGGGGATGTTTTGACAGGAAATTTAGACAATTTTTCTTCTGTTGCTTGTTCTAAAATGGGCGCCTTGGACCTTCCCTTAGCTCATATATGGTGTCATTTGCAAAGAAGCATCTAACATACAAGAAGTGCTGAGGACAATTTTAAGAAAGGGGGAAAAAGCACTTTATTTGCAAAGAATAAACCATTAATTTACACAAACTTACATCCCAGTTTATATACATTATATATAGTTTATATACACAGTATCTCACACTGGATGCTGGCCCCCAAAAGCAGCATTGGGCTGGCTCTAGGCCATTCTCATAACAAAGCCCACCCCCCATTCCAGCTGGAGGAATGAAGAAGTGACACACCCTAACTCCTCCTGCAGAGAGCCCTGAAATGGGTTACAAGAAAATATCAGGTTCCTTCTTTGTGCTCACGAGGCCTAGGGGTGACTCCAGGCAGGGATGGGGCATGAGGCGGCACTAGAGTGGCCTAAGGACTTCCTGGTCTAGAACTCTCCAGTCCTGAGGCAAGTGATGGGAGAATGCCTGGAGAGGAGGAGTTCTGACGAAGGCTGCAGTTTCTCTCTCTCTGCCTGGCCAGGGTCCTGCACACAGCCACACATTTCAAGCCTGGAGTCTGTGGGTATAAGAAATAAGAGGGCCGTATAGGACAGGGACTGCTATACCCCTCACTGTGCTGAATCTGGAGTCAGGGTTTGATCATCACTTTGGGTAGGTCACCTTCCCTTTCTGGGCCTCAATTTCCACATGAGTAACATGGGGTGGAATGTAAGTTGGGCTGGATTCCTCTAAGGGCCCTTTTAGCTGGAAATTTCTCTGAATCTGTTATACTGTATTTGTGTCCACCACAAGTTACATAAAACACACATACTCATGTGTGGGTCAAAGTATTTGTTTACCTCCAGGGTTTCTAGCCCTTTCCTGTTCAAAAAAGAAATTGGCTCAGGATGGATGAAAGGGTAGACAAGGCAAACACTACTTTTCTAGGTAAGTGCTGCTGTAGGTAGAACAGCCTCTGACAGCTGCCTTTTGTACCCAAGCTACTGATGCCCAAGCAGCTGGCAGAGGCCTCTACCGTGCAATTATTCTTCAAATCTCTGTCATTTGCTTACCCACAAACGTCCTTGTCTCATTCTTCACACTAGCTTTGGCTCTCTGGTAAATTCACATCAGCATAACTCCAAATTGTAAATCTATTCCCACATTCTCTTATTGGCAAATCACTTCCCTAGCTACCTATGGCTCCCTCATCATCCCCCCCACTCTAAGGTTCCTTTGGGTGGGGTTCAGAATGAATAGCGGGTCTGGTGGCAGTCCTGTTTCTCCTATAATTCCGTCCATGTCTGGAGAATAGAATGGGTATCAGAATGCCCTTTAGAGGCACAATGAGGAAGACTTTTCCTCCTCTATCTTCACACCGTTTGGCCTTAGAACAAGTCTTGGGTCTTCCCTCCATCCCTGAGAGACCCTAGGAGAGGCAAGGTTTCTGTGGTATGGTAGAGAGAGATAAGGGGTAAGATTTAGTAGCTATGAGCAGTGGGGTGGCTCCTTAAGCTGTTAGTAGGGTAACAAAAGGAGGACCTTGCCTACAGCAGGGGCTCTACATATGATGGTTGGCTGGTTCCTTGGATGGAGGAAATAACATCAGGACTACCAATTTGGAGGGTCCCAGAGGTCTGGTCCTTGTACATCGTACAAAGAAGATTCTTCTGAACAGAAGACCTGTAAGGCTGATGGCTGTTGCCACAGAATCCCTGTTGGCCAAGAGAAGAGGCATTGCCATCAAGTGATTAAAATTGGCATTTCCAAGTCTCTCCCTAGGATTCTCAAAGATTTTGGTTCTGTATTACCACTTTTATTGGTTCTCCCTAGACTCCAAAGTCCACCTGATACAGTGGTGTAACTTAATAGCTTTGGAATTAGACCTGGCTTAAGACCCAGGTCTGTGACTTAAACTGAGTGAGATCTTGTTCAAAATACTTAAGCTCTCTGAGCGTCACCTAAACAATGACATTTGTAATATTATCTGCCCTGCCTTCTTTGAAGATGACAATAAAAGAGGGAGAGGTTCCTATTGGTTCCTGCTACAACTACACACTATCCAAGGCACTTTAGAGGAGTTGGGACCAGACACATGCCTGAAGTTTGCCTCACCTTGGGTTGCAAGGCAGTCATCAGCAACTAGACAATGGAGGCCCACCCCACCACCTGTTGCCCTGGCCCTAGAAGGTCCCAGTAGTGTGGTTACTTAGAAAGAGAAGGCACAGCTAAGAAACAAGTACCTGTTGTTCTTGGTAGATTTCAGCTGCCTGAAGGAACTTATTCCCCACTTCCTGAAAAGAAAATTCTTTTCAGGGGCAAGAGGAGTAAACTGTACAAGGGTGGTTGTTCCAACTTTGGGCTGGCCCTGGCACCCAGAAGCCAGCTGGGCCCAGGCTATTACAAATAAGAAGGCCCTTGAATGGTCCTATGTTATGGTCAGGTGGAAAGCTTGGGGTTAGAGGGAATATGCATTTGGACGTGAACTAGGGGACAGAGGCCTGCCCAATGCCTAGATGTTGATGCCTTGACACTGATTTCTCCTGAGCTTGGCATCTGTGGTAACTATGCTCTGCTGTGGTTTCTGAAGCCAGAACAAAGACAGACTGGGTCAGCAGGGCAGGGGTTGCTATCCTTTCAGAAGGCCTGGATGAATGGCCATTTGGGTTGCAGCTAACTTGAACATAAACCCTCTGTCTTCTCCCTGCCTCTTGTTCTTTCCAGTCTAGGTAGAGAGGCTCTGCCTTGCTGATGCTTAGGGGCAGTAGAAGGCTAAGTAATTTAGAAGGCTATCATGGTGGCTTCCTGTTAAGAGTCTGAAACAGTAGAACTTGAAGGGACTTCTGGAGGTCACCCAGTCCAAACTTTTGTCCACAGACACAATTTGATTAGGATTAGATGAATAACATTTGTGCTGCTTTAATACATGGAAAATTCTCTTTGTGTCCAGGTAAGCTAAAGAATATCCCAGAGTCACACAAGTCCCAGACTCACACAAACACAGGTTCCAGGTTAGGCACCTGTCTCAGACAGAGGTAGTCTCTGTGGAGAAACAAGACAGGAATTCTAGTCAGGTTGGGAAGGGGGCAATGAGGAGGCCACCTCAGGGAGTTTTCTGAGCACAGAGCACAGTTGTAAACAAAGTAAAGAGACATGTGGCCCCAACTACAGATTCCGGTTTTCGTGCACGCAGGCTTGTGGCCATTCTCTGTAATTGATCCAAGGCACAGCAAGCCTTCCTTTTCCAGAGCCCAGCAAACTGCCACAGTGAGGCTCTCAGCCTGAGTGGGAAGAGCTCTCTGATCCTCTTGTAGGCCACAGTGTGGAGCAGCAGGAATGCTTCTACTACTGAGGGTGTCCTTGTGGCAGGTTTGTCCCATGGCCTCTGCCATAAGCACGTGTCTTCCCCCTCCTTGGACCTCCCCTTAGGCTGCAATGTTCTCTTCCCACTCTACCCCTGTCACCACCCCCACCCAAGAAAGAAGCAGCATCCCCCTTGGGATCAGATTCTTCCCCTCAGAGTCTGGAGTACACCTTTGCTTTTTCTGGCCTGCTGCCCTGGATCTTCATTTTAGTGCAACAAATGATAAATCTGAAAACAGGGACCTTAGGGTTGAAAAGTCATGCCATGGGTGGTGCCTGTGGCTCAAAGGAGTAGGGCACCGGGTCCATATGCCAGAGGTGGTGGGTTCAAACCCAGCCTTGGCAAAAAAAAAAAAAAACAAACAAAAACAAAAACAAAAACAAAAACAAAAAACAAAAAACAAAACAAAAACAAAAACAAACAAAAAAACAAAAATGAAAAGTCATGCCATAAGACAGTCAACCTGGAGCCAAAGAAGGTTCTGCTTCATGTAAACCCTGGAGCTCCATCAACTGTTCTATTAACTCAAGGTCATTCTGGAAAGTCAAACAGGCCTTGTCATCCTAGAATCACTAGGGAATAAATATCACTGGGGCATTTCTCTCTGTGGCTGCAACACCAATATACCTCACTCCACAGCAGCACTTAGAGGTTCTGGGAGTCCCAGCTCCCAAGTCTGGGGCAGGGGCTTGGGCAGGGGCAAAATGGGGGGAATCTAGGATGCAGGGGCTTCACCCAGCCTGATGGCCCCAAAGAAGGTGGTGTGTTTGCTCATATTGATGGAGATGTCAGCATGTACCATCTTCACGGCGATCTTCTGCCGGGCCTTGAGGAGGCAGACGCCCGCGGTATAGCATGTGTTGTAGTTGGTCTTGCCCGTCTCAATGCTGCGAGTGCACTGCAGGAAGGGCTTCTCGTCCACTACCACCTCATAGCTGGCAAAGTCAGTGAAGTTGATGTAGTATACCTGAGTGAAAGGCAACAAGAAGGGATTGGGGGAGAGAGGAAAGAGAGGCTGGGGGCCCTCCCTGTGGGGAACAGACAGAAGCTTCTCAGATGAGTTGCCAATATACCTTGTGGAGGTAGCAATGCCACCTGAAGGTATGCTAGCTGGCCAATAGGAATGGCAAAGTGACAGGTTTATGCACTGCTCTTCTCCCGCTCCTTGCAGCTCAGGTGGCTGAGCAAACCTTTCTTACAACAGCACACCTGTCATTTAACTTTGTGAGGTCAAGAAACTTGCCTTTAATTACCCCTTTACACCCCTGCTGCCCCAGCTCTGGAATGAAGCACAGTACTGTGCATATATTAGGTGCTTAATTAATGCTATAGACACAAGCTAATTTCCACTTTTGAGCCCCACAGACTATTTGTGGAGAAACTTAGAAGTCACTGATTCCCCAGAGCGGTCACATAACAACTTGCCATTTCTTCAGCTCCTTAACAGAAGCTCATTCAGTTTGCAGCACCCTCTCCCCTGTGGCTGAACTTCTCTCACTAGTTCACAGAACCTTTTAGCCCTCTCATTTGGGCTTTTTTTTGCAGTTTTTTTTTGGCCAGGGCTGGGTTTGAACCCACCACCTCCAGCATATGGGGCAGGCACCCTACTCCTTTGAACCACAGGAGCTGCCCCTTTGGGCCTCTCATTTCAAGACTGATGACACAGGTCCAGAGAGATGGAGAGCCATCCACCACAAATGAGATAAAGAATTGATAAGGGGGCTTGGCACCTGTAGCTCAGTGGTTAGGGCACCAGCCGCATACACTGGGGCTGGCGGGTTCAAACTAGGCCCAGGCCTGCTAAACAACAATCCCAACTACAACAACAACAACAAAGTAGCCAGGTGTTGTGGTGGGTGCCTATTGTCTCAGCTACTTGGGAGGCTGAGGCAAGAGAATTGCTTAAACTCAAGAGTTTGAGGTTGCTGTGAGCTGTGACATCACAGCACTGTACTGAGGGTGACATAGTGAGACTCTGTCTCAAAAAAAAATAAAGAAAGAAAAAAATAAGAATTTATAAGGGGAAAACCCAGGCCTCTAATTTCACTTTGTGGTCAGAGAAAAGCAGGAGCCTATACTCAATGGCCTGACATCATGGGGATTTTCCTAGCTTGCACTGACTACTCCAAATTCTTTTCTAGGCCCAGAAAATTAATTTTTCCATCCTTCACTACCCTTATTCATCACACTCACCCCAAGGTTTGATTCCCTGTCCCCTGCCACATAGAGTTCATAGCTCATAGGACCTCAGAATTATACCTACATCATCTATGGGGGTTGGGACCTTCACCCATCACCCTAAATCACTTTATGAAAGGCCAATTCCTGAATGGGCTCCTCAGGTATGAGCAGTGTATTTAGATGTCATATAATCTTTTAGGTCAGAACCCAAGCTACACCAAATACTTGGTATGCTTAGCAAATTTTTGTTAACCCACTTTCTCTGGCTACTCTCCTATGGACCCTCTGTTGGGTCTGTAGTCCTGTCCATCTACCTGCTTGCTGCCCGCCCAACAAAAGCCTCAGCCTCAAGGCTCATCTACCTCTATCTCTGAGAAGGCACTCTTGTGGAGGATGGAAATGGATGGGCACTGGCAGACCTGGGGAGTGGGCCTAAGACAGGAAAAGGACACATGAAAAGGGAGAAAGGGCTGGGAGAATGACATCAGGAAGGAAGAAAGAATAATAGAGAAATAGAAAGTGAAACAAATGGGAGAAAGAGGAAGGAAAGACAGTCAGAAATCTTTTTGAGGTAGAGAGAAAGTCCACAGAAACCACTCAGCCTAAGGAACTGTCTACTTGGAGAACCTTAGGGATAAGGGGTGATTCAGACTTCATGGCAGTCACAGTTACTTTTCCTTATAATGCCTAAGCTAATAGCATTAAGGGGAGGGGTTCTCTGCAGCCCTGGAATTGACTTTCAAAGAATATACTCAGACCCAGTTTAAGTTTGGCAGTAGAACCAAACAGCTCAATGGGGAAACATGAGCCTGGGGCTCTGTAAGAGGGAATCGGATGGCAGGATGTAGGAGGGGACTTTTCTCAGTTTTTCGCTAATATTTGGCTAGGAAAACAAAAACAAAGCAGACTCTCTCTCTCTCTTCCCTCCTTTCTACTCATTCCCATTGCTGTTCCCCCTCCTACCTCCCCCACCAAAGAAGGAAGTTAGCCTTGGGATGGTTTTGGCTGGCTCCACAGTGCCCCTATGTGGCCTGCACCGGATCTGCATTCTGGATATAAGAAGAGTTAGGCCTAAGACCGTACTCACTTCTACCTGACTATAGATGAAGTAGGTGCCGTCCACCAGTACCTCCAGCTCCCCGCTGCGGGGATGTAGCTTAAACACCTTGGGGTTCATAGTGATGCGAGACCAGTCATTGAGCACTCCACCTGAAAGATCTCAGTATGAGAGAAGGGCAGTCACTCAGCACATGTCAGAATAATCCAGGCAATAGAAAATAAGAAACATCAAGCATCATATAACCCCCACTTCTATATCAGTACAACCAGGCTACCTTAGAAGGCCAAGCTTTAAGAAGGGCATTTGGAAGCAGAATTACTCTGCTTGGAAAGTAGCTCAGAAATTCTGGTGTCTGACTATCTGTCTTCATCCTTCTTTTCCTGACCCCCTCCATCTGGAAGTGTCTTTAACCAACACCTTCTACCTGGAATCCTGGGGAGGGGATTGTAAGATGAGAGTAGGCACATTGCCCTATTTTCTTTGTTGTTATAGGGCCTTCACAGGCAAAATTCAGATGCTAAGTGGCAGGCTAGGTCTTATTATTATTCAATGTTACTTTCCCAGCCATAGCTCCTAAATCCCCCTTCTATCCTATACGTTGGTGGGTTTTCTCCTTCTCCTTAAGATATTCTTTGTTACTGCTCTTCCACACCCATACCTTTCTGGAAAGCCTCCCTGGACCTCTAGGAAACCACTCGATAGCCCAAGGAACTATCTATTTGGAGAACCTTAGGGATAAGGGGTGATTCAGACTTCATGGCATCCAGGGCTAGTGCTCATCACTACCAAGGCTCCATAGGTGAGAGGGGTCCTTATGAGAGTGAAGGATAGAATTCTAGACCTCACTAGAACCAGCCAGGAAAATTGGGGAAGGTGTCTAGGAGCTGACACACTTGGCAAAGCATCTGTGCCTTGGCCCTGCCCCAGTTAGGGGTAGAAGGCACTATCTAGTTTGGCAAGACAGCAGAAGCCAGCATGTGAGAGTAGAAGAGAAACTTCTATTTCTATCCTACCTTGAGAGGAGGAGGTCCAAACCTAGAGGCCCCTTCTCTATTCTTTTTTGTTTTTGAGACAGAGTCTCACTCTATTGCCCAGGCTAGAGTACCAAGGTATCAGCCTAGCCCACAGCAATCTCAAACTCCTAGATTTAAGTGATCCTTGTGCCTCAGCCTCCTGAGTAGCTGGGACTACAAGTATCTGCTACAGTGCCTGGATACTTTTTTTTTCTATTTTTAGTAGAGAGGCTTCTCTCAAACTCCTGGGCTCAAGTGATCCTCCTGGCTTGGCCTCCAGAGCACTAGGATTACAGATATGAGCCACCATGCCTGGCCCTTTTCTTCATTCTCACCCAAGAAATTATGTTTTGAATGTCCATCCTTGGCTAGTCTCAGGAGGCCTGCCTCTCTGAGGTGTGAGGAAACAGGCTTTCTGGAAAGGGTGCTATCTTCCCTTGAGGCAATAATTAGAGGCCATAGGAGTTGGGAGGAAATAGTCTATCTCTGTTCCTTAAATGGACTACTCTGCATGTTGTCCTTCCACCCCTGACCTCATCACTTCTGGTATAATTAAAGGTCAGCAAAGACTACTACTAGGGATTGGCCCAGAGAGTCTGGAAATGGTCTCATTATATGGTACTGGGAACAAAATCACTAGCTGCTGGCATAGAACAAACACTGAGGCCACTCATCCACATATCCAAACACATCTATTTCCTGCCTGTCTCAGTCTTCTTTGGGCAGATGGGTGATCATGGCGCACCCAGGGCCTTGAAAACCCCAGAAGCACCACTTGGGTTTGGTGCCATTCTCTTCCTATTTACACTTCTGAGGCTATTAAGTCAGGCATCCACGTGGCAGTCAGGGGAGTAGCTAAGTCCAGTCATTAAAGAAACTCAGCACAGTCAGTTTAGGACTGACTGGGCTCATAGAAGCTATTGCCGTGTAGCAGGTTTCTTAACCGTCATTTATTGTTTCTGCATTCACAGCCCCTCCCTTCCACTTCAAGCTCTGTAAGCATCTGGCATCTTGGCTAGCTTGCTGTTTCCCAGGGCTCCTGGGGGTTCACACATTTTAGGCTTTATGCACTCTGGGGGCTGGACATTATTCAAAGCGCTGTTCTTTAATGAATGTTCATGTTTCTCTGGGGAAGATAATGACACTAATAATTCAGTGGAGTGTACATATACAACACTGAAGTAGCATAGGATGGGAGACAGTAACTTTGAAACCTAAACCTAAATGTGAAATCTTGGGCCAAATTAACCTCTCTGCTTTAGTTTCTCTCTCTGTAAAAAGGAGCTAATATCTAACTCATAGGGTAGCTCTGAGGATCATATGAAATTAAAGACAAATATAGTTGAAAAATCTATGGTACTATACAAATATAAGGCAGTATGATTATAGTATTATCCAATCTCTCTGGCACTCTGTTTCCCTATTTTTTAAATGTAGGGATTACATGGTATCAATGTTTCCTAACCTCATTAAACACAACTTCCCTTTTGCTAGACACTGGCATTTCACAATCCCTGGAAATTCTAACAATTCCCCCCCTTCCCTGAGAGAAATGGCTTCTCTATCCATTTTTTATGTAAATTCATCGGACAAGAAGAATTTAATTTTACATAGTTTTAATTTCTCTAATCTGTATTGTGAAAGTGTTTACCAAAATACACACATCTTCATGGTGACTCTGATATCTCACCTCTATCTCCTAAGAATGCCCAGGCTAAATGATGTCTCAAGTCCCTTTCAGCTCCCTCATGGGTGATTTTCAATGCAATTTAGATGTAGCAACTGGTCTTGGTGCAACAAATTACTCAGGACAGCAAGTAGAAGGCATGATGGAGTAGAGAATGGTTCCTTATACCAAGGGTACTTCAGAGGCCTGGGAGGGAACTAGGCTGTGAGAGTATTTGGAGGCTGAGAATGAGGGGAGAGAATCTACTTTGATTCTTACCATTCTTGACTTGAATTGCTGATCCTTGGCCCTGTAGATGCACCACAGCTGGCTGGGAAGATGAGAAGGATAGAGAGTAGTCACTATGAGTAATGGCTGTTTTGCTCAGCCACTGAGCATATTTTCACTCCTGGTTTCTAATATCCTTTTTAAATCCAATTCTGATCCCTCTCCCTTGTCTTGGAATATTAGAGACTATATTTCTACTAGGAGGTGATATGATTTTGTAGCTCTGCCACTTCCTGGCTATGTGACCTCAGCCAAGTATAACGCCTCTGAGCCTCATTTCCCTAACTGTAAAATGGGGATTATAAGAAACTCTGACCTCTCTCACAAGGATATCTGAAGATCAAATTAGGTTATGGATATAAAATTGGCCTTTAAGCCATCAAGTATTGTGGTCACATAGCTGCAGTAAGGGAGGCTGGCATGAGAGAAGGCAAGGCAGCAGGACCTACCAACAGGACAGATTAGGAAGCTGGAAGACTGCAAGGAGCCCTTCAGTCTATTTAGGCAGAAGCCCAGGTTGTGCTTGGGCTGGAGCTGGTTGGCTGTTTTTCAAGGGCATACTCTTAAAGGCCTCAGCTCTGGATCCCAGGTGGTGTGAGTGGTGACAAGGTGTTGTTGGGGAGTCCCAGGTGAATAGACCTGACTGGCAGCTCATTTTAGCTACCTACTGGGCCTGACTAAGGTGACCTTCTGTCTGGTGGAATAAGGAAAAGTGGTCCTGGCAATACTTGTTTCCTTAGCTAAAACAGGCCCTGGAGTAAAGCTTTTGAATTCATAGAAATGGGAATAACCTGTTAGGGAAAACCCTCAGAACCTCCAGGGTGTCCTCACAAAATAAAGCCTCAGGAAATTTAATAGGGAGCAAATTTATTTATTTTTTATTTTCAAAAGAAACATATCTCTTGAAAAAAGTGTGACTATGCTCATTTTACAGGGCTTTTGTTATTCTTGGATTCAGACTTCTCATGACCCACAAGTAGAGGAGTCACAGAAAGGGAACTCAGTATCTATTATATGCCACATAGTTCTAGGGAGCAAATTTAAAGGTGGTTCTAGCCCTTGGTTTTCCCTCCTCCCAGGAATGGAGCAATTCCCAGCCAACCTGATTTTCTCGAGTTCCAGCTTTATCAGCACCACCTGTAAAATAGGATAGGAGAATCAGAGTGCATGCCTTTTCTGCTTCCTTTTCTCTTGGCCTGAACAGCTAGTGGCAATGAGCCTTTCAGGCATCCTCAAACTATGGCCCATGGGCCACACATGGCCCACCAAGGGCATTTCTCCGGCCTGCTGGGTGTTTTTGCCGCCACTGCCTGTCCTGCTTAGCAGCTGAGTTGTCCTGGGGCCCGCAGTCCAGCCCTCCAACGGTCTGAGGGACAGTGAACTGGCCCCCTGTTTAAAAAGTTTGAGGACCCCTATAGCCAGTCCTGTCTGAGCATTATTTTTCAGGGCTTAAAGCTTACCTTTCAGTGTAATGGAGGGCCCTTGGATGACAGGACATCCCTTCCTTCTTTCCTGTCCCTGACCTTCATCATCAGTGGGCCCTGCACCCAACAGGGAAACTTCTGGTATTGTCTCTTGCCAGTGATGGCCCAGGGCAAGCCCCACTCAGCATCCATGGAGAATGATGAGAGGGCATTCCTGTCACTTCATGACACTGAGACAATGGCATTAGCTTCTCTAGCCTTTTGCTCCCTATTACTTTTCTTCATAGAGCCCATTGCCATTTGTAAATATCTTCTTTCTTTAATTGTTATCTCTCTTCCTCTAGGAGATAAACTCTGAGAATAGAAATCATTTACCAGTATGTCTCTCTGTACACAGAAAATGATCAATTAATATTTGTGGAATGATTGGATGAAAAAAAAATCCCTAACTTTATTTCTTGTGGCCATGATAATACTTAGCCCCATTTGAACCAAAAGTTAATGGCTCTGAGTACTGCTGAAGAATTCTTGGACCTAGTGAAATCAGCTGTAAAAGAGTCCATTTCTCTAAAGCCCCAAGGAGGGCCCACAAGAGGGGGGCAGGAAAAAGAAATAACAACTGATATAAGTCCAGGCAGTCTGACTCCTGTCAACTCCAATTAGGCAGGTTTAGATCTGGACCTATACCTTTTGGGTTGCCTTCTGGGCCCAGGCAGAAGGATGCAAAGGGATGAATTGGCATCCAAAATGGGCACTGTGGTAAGGTAAGACTAGTGCAAGAAGCACTTGGCTCCTGGACAGGACACCCTTGGTACCCGGGTTTGCTTCATCTGCAACCTGAGTGACTCATAAGTTTCCAACTTCTTGATCATCAGTGACTGCTTGTCTACCTCTATGGGAAAGACACTCTGGAGTTCAGAGGATGAAACTATCCTTGGGCTTGTCATTTTGTCCAGTCCCCAACTTTCTGTCCCATAATTTATTTCTAGGCAAACATCAACATGTGGAGCTAGATGCTGAGAATCAGAGTAGATTAAATCCATCCCCCACTAGAATTCCAGTGAGACATCAGGGCCTCTGTCTCTGGAGCATGTGAATTTACTGGCCTACTATAGGGAGCCCAAGAGTTAGGGAGGGTTTGTGATGGAAGGATTGAAATGGGGCAAGAGCTTGAGTCCTGTTCTTCATAGATTGGTACAAACAAGAAGTTAGAGCAGTCCAGGCCCTACAGCCTTGCCCAATTCCTAGCTCTACACTGGGCTAGGAGACATGTATCCCTTATTACAAACTAAACCCATTACTGCCACTTGAAACTTCTCTCATGATAACCCACTACTGCTCTCCTAAAGTACTTATAAGGCATCTAGGGAGAGCAGAGAGACCAGGAAACTCACCAGAAGGTCCCTGGAGGCCAGGGGGTCCTTGAGGACCAGGAGGACCTGGAGGACCGGGTGGTCCCATGACAGTTGTTCCTGGAATTCCAGGAATCCCTGGAATCCCTGGGGGTCCCTGTGGTCCTGGGGGTCCTGGAGGTCCTGGGGGGCCATTGGGCCCAGGAGGCCCTGCCTTCTTTCCTGAAAAATAGGACTCAGCGTTATATTTTTAGTTATTTATTGTCAAGAGTGTACTGTCAGGAGTTTAGAGACTTCCAATGACACAGAGTCAGCACTCTGAGAGTTCCTGCTATCACATTTTTCTGTCTCTCTCCCCACCTTCATCCTCAGCCCCACTCAGAGTTATGTTTGAGGATATAGAAATAAATGGCCTTCAAGGTGCTCAGTCTAGTGGGGAAAGAGACATAGGGACCAAATGCTGAAGAGGTCAAAAAGGAGGTTAAATTTCAGCTGAGTCCAAAGAATGAGAATCACCAAGTGATCAGAACTATGGGTCACTTTTTGGTTCTTTTTAGAATTGGGCTATTGTTGCAGAGTGTGGGGCTTTCATGTTTACTGCCCAGTTTGGTGGACCTGATGTCCATAATAGGAGGAAGCTAGGCAACTCAACTTTAGGAATGACATTAGCTCCAGGAAGGTTCCTATAGGAATCAGGATACACAAGGAACGGAGGTTGGGATGAGGGTATTACTACTTGGGAATGAGGAATGGGAAGGAATTTTGTAGATAGGGAGAGAGAGAGAGACAGAGGTGAGAGAGAGATTGAGAAATAACAAGAAAAGAAGGGAAGGCTGAGAGTAGAGAGAGCAAAGGAGAAGGCAGTAGGTTTTACTTTCTCAGCTGACCCCTCTAAACTCTATATTTAAAGGTGTCTGGGAAAGGAAATTCTGCAAACTCCTTTGGTAACATGTTCTAATGTTTATAACCCCTCACTGCTCACTGTTAGGAAGTTCTTGGTATATTTAACTGGCATCCCTCCTGTGGTAGTTTAAGCTCTTATTCTATTCTTTATGCAGATAGAATACACATGTACATAATAACCCTCATATATTAAAAGACATTAAGTCACCTATCAACTTCCATTTTTATAGGCTAAATAATCCAGCTTCCTAGAGTCTTTCCTCAGAGGCCCTATTCTTGAATGTGTTATTAATCAAGCCCACCAACTCCTCTCCCTTTCCTCCTTGCTGTCCCTGCAGAACGATCTTGCCTGCCTACTTCATATTCTAGTCAACATTTCCACCAGAATGTAGTTATGTTAAGTGGGTCATAACTGTAGTCTTGAACCAAAACCTCCAGTTCCTCCTATTGACTTTCTCAGCTCTATGCAGCTCTACTTGAGGACTGCAGGTGCCCAAAGGTAGGTATCTTCTTTCTCCCTTCACCACCTTCTCACAATTTTGTGGAAGTATCAGGATTGGAAACCTCGTACCACACTGCATCACAATGTCTTCATGTGAGGTAATTTTTTAGTATTAAATACAACTTTTTAAAGTCTCACTTAAAAACTTTCTGACTCTGACTTCCTGTTTTCCAAACTCTTAGGCAGGAGAACCGTGTCCTGATTTATCAGGTCCTCCTTTGAGAATAATGCTTCCTGTCCAAGAAACCAAATCCTCACCACTCAAGAGGCCAATTGTCCATGTCTAACCACATCTGCATTTGGAATGAAACAATGAGGTCACTGCGGGGCCTCTTCCTCAGAGAAGAAAGAAAGGAAGGTCCAGAGAGCATCTCTCCCAGGAAGAGTTTTTGTAGCCATAAAAACCTAGAGGTACAAGCTTTAGAAGTTTCTTTGCACTTAGCAGCAGGAGATTGGATCAGCCCAGTTTCTAGATCTAGCCACTTTGAAGATGCTGAACAGGAAAACCATCTCCTTTCAGATTTCAGCAGCTTCCAAATTAGACTTATTCAGAACCCAAGTTTCAATTACAGCTAGTGTAGTAAAAAGAAAATGGAATCTGTACTCAGGAGATAAGGATATAAGCCTCAGCATTGCTACAGATGCCCTTTAGGAAAACCCTCTTCTTTCCTCAAGCCTTAGTTTTTACATCTGTGAAACAAGGATGTTGGCTTTGATGATTTCTTTGTTTTCTCCCAAGACTGAGGTTCCATAAGAAAGATTGATTTACCCCTTGTAGTCAGGAAACTTCCCTAGCTTGGTCGTAAATTTGCTTCTGTCCTTATTTTCTGGATGGCACAGATACAGAGTATGGCTCATATTAGGCTATGCTATGTCCCAGCATTTCTAGGCCTAACAGTGATTTTCAAGTTAGAGGGTGTTCTTTGGGTAGCTTTAAGGATGTGAGTCTCTTGTAATTGCTAATGTAATTTTGGAAGAAATAGAGCCAGAAACTCCAGTTCAAGAGAGTAATGGTTGCAGTGTAAACAGAGAATGTTTAATTATGAAATTGTTAGAAGGTATTTGAGAAAAAACTCCTGCTGTTATCCAGTTCTGCAGCTCGTTCTCTGAAACAATGTTTAGGCAAGTATGCTTCTCATATTTGCATGCTTTCAAAAAGTTGGGCCCAGAGGAGAGCATGTACAAAATGACCTGTGGACCAAGAGAATCACTTTAGATGATTTAATCTCTTTTCCAGATTTCCTTACTATAACAAAGCACTTCATGATACAAAAACCCATAGACATCTGTACTTAGAAAGTTACCCTGTAAAGTCTTAGATGAAAGAATATATATACTCCTTTCAAAGTTAAACCTCATCAAAGGGGCATTTCCCTAACCTTTTAGCTAAATCCCAAATGTTGAAAGGACAGCCAAGAAAGAGAGAGTGTGTGTGTTGTAGGAGGAGGAAAATTACACTAAACAGTGAAAATTAAGTGAACAACTCAATTTATCTCTTCAGGTATGTGCCTATTCACTGTGTCCAAGGAAATCTGTATTAAATGGATTCTAAAGCACTTTCAGCCAAAGTAAACATTTAAGGTCTATGTGTATTCTCTTCCCAATTATGTCCCATACACAAAGTAGCAGTGCCAGGCAATGAACCAAGTTATAATGTCTTATTAAAGGGATGTGACAAGAATTAAGAACTACATGCTTGAGAATTGAATTTACTTTTTTAAAAGACAGAATATCTTGGTGGTGAATGCCCAGGCCCCACAGGGAAAGGTTTTCTTACTGACTTCAGCTCTCTGGCTATTTCCAAACTTTGCTCAGCTCAGGCCCACAAGAGGCTAAGCCATTCCCAGCTTCTTTATGACGGGGACACAAGTTTTCCATGTGGACCATGGTACTTCAAGGTACCAAAGTAGTCTAGTGCTCAGAGAATAGATAGGCTGCAGCTGGAGACAGTCTTTCTGTCCTAGTCTGGAGTTCATAATCTACTCCATGAAACTCCATAAACTGTATCACATAGAATCATTTAACTTAAAGCATCTTAATGAAAAATCATTAGTTTTACTCTGCTATCTTCCACTCATGTCAGAACTCATGTTAAAATAGGTACTTTAACTAGTTTCATAATTAGTTATTTTAGTCCTAAGGAGTGGACTTTGTTGCCTGGTCCTATCCTTGATGACTGTTCTCTGTCTTTAGATTTTCCTCTACAAGTAAGTGAGCACTGGTGTAAACCCTTGGGCCAGTCTCATCAAAAGTATACTGGGGACATACTTGCCCAACAACAGCATAATGAAACTTCCCAACTAGAAGCTGCTTCTTTGAAAAGACTAAAAGGCCATGGTAATACTCCAGCCCAACTTTTCTATCACAGAGAAAATGATATTGAATTCCCCAAACCAAGAAATAAATTTCCTGACAGAAAAATTGAATAGGGAAGGCTTTTAGGCCAAGAAATAGGATATTTGCATGTTTCAGTGAGCAGTATACCTAATTCCTATAAGTAGTCTCAGGATTTTATTCATATCTGATTACTGATTTGATAAAGGCAGAAAACAAGGGCAGGGGAAAGAATAAAGAAGAATAAAGGAAAGAGATGTAAATTTAATTGTATGGAAGAAGCAGGAATGAAAAACAAAACAAACTTTTTTATGTTGCTAGAGAAGCAACTCAATCTTTCATGAATCATCACTGAAGAACAATTTCATGTTCTTTTATAAACTACAGTACTGAAGATCACATATGATTGAAAAAAATAACAGACAACCAATGTTGAAAGAACATAATATAAAAATCCTACTTTGTTTTTCTTCTAATTTGAGAAAAGATGACATAATAGAAAATTTTAATTAATTAATTAATTAGAGACAGAGTCTCACTCCGTCACCCTGTGTAGTATGCCATGGCATCATAGCTCACAGCAACCTCAAACTCTTAGGCTTGAGCAATCCTCTTGCCTCAGCCTCCTGAGAAGCTGGGACTACAGATGTCTACTATAACTCCTGAGTAATTTTTCCATTTTTAGTAGAGACAGGGTCTTGCTCCTACTCAGGCTGGTCTCGAACTCCTGAGCTCAAGCAATCCACCTGTGTCAGTCGCCCAGAGTGCTAGGACTACAGGTGTGAGCCTCTGCTCCCAGCCATGAGAGCAATTTTTAAAAGTCAGGAACTTAACTTACCCTTTTTCTTGTTTTTAACCGGACCTATTAAAAGAAGAAAATGGAAAATTAAGTCACTGGAAATTAATAGAAAATTTTTGCTCTTTAAGACCATTACGTTGAAGTAGCCCCAAGACACTGCAAACTTAAGGGAGTCCCAAACCCAGGTTTTTGGCAAGGTATCTCCCCCAAATCAGACCTCCCAGTCTTTTGTCTTCTGATTGCTGAGGCCATGAAAGTTATAAGGAAGATTCTTCCCTAGGGAGAAAAATATTTTAGCCTTTAGTCTTTGGGGTGAGGGAATAGGTACTTCTCTATAGAGATGAAATGCCCAGAAATGCACAACTCAACAACCTTAGGATGGCATTCCACTAATTCTGCAAGTCCTGAGGTTGAAGAGTCGTGCATTCAGGTAAGGATCTGATATGATTCTCATGTGTTGAAGCTGGAAGGAAAAAAGGATTATTTTTATGGAAAGAGCACAGAAGCTATAGTTTTAGTCACTTCCTTATTATTTGTTAGTTATCAAAACTGGGTGACCATAATACAGTCATGTGGGGGCCACATGTACTCCCTTTGTAATTTACCATAAGTTAATGGACACTTTAAAAGAAAGGTCAACAGTTTCAGCAACAGTGAAATCACAAGCATTTTCTTGGGAATTACTTCTAAAGAAAACAATTCTAATCAATTGACAGCACTTAGAAAACTCAAGGCTTTTTAAATATAGTTAGGTGACAACAACTCCCCAGATAACACATAGTTTTGGTCTCTCTTAGACAGTCATTTTTTCCTTTCTAGGGACTTAATTCTCTTCATTCTATAGATGGATTTTACTTTGTTTACACATAGGTATTTAAAACTCTGTTCCCATGAAGACACTGTTATATGACATTAAACCACTGTCACTGTCCTTGAGAGTTTACAAAAAGAACACTGAGCATTTTTATATTATCCTACAGTTTATAGAACATATTCCCATCTATCATTTCATTTGATTCTTGCAACAAGCCTGGAATGATCTCTACCTATAAGAGCAGGCCATACAAGAAGTCAGTAAAATCTCTAACCAAGAAGGCTGCCTAAGTGGCTAATAGAGCTTGAACAGATTTCTTAAAACACCAATGTTACATAGACTTTTCTGGTAGAGCAATTTCGTGTGCAATAGTAGGTATTATTATGTATAGGGGACATTTTAGGTTGGAGCAACATGCTGCACTTAAGATCATGAATATTTTTGGATTGTAGCTTTCATAAGATATCTAACAATTAGTTTCATAATAGTGTTGAGTACATTGGATACTTTTTCTTCCATTCTTGAGATACTTTGCTAAGGAGGACATTTTCCAGCTCCATCCATGTAAACATGAAGGAGGCAAGGTCTCCATCTTTCTTTGTCCAAATAGAGCCCCAGACTATGGGGAAAGGGTAGGGGGGAGGGTAGGGGGGAGGATGGGTGAAGAGAATGATATTGTGAGGATCACATCTACAATTTATCCTATTAGGGTACATGTGAATTTGTCTAAAGGTTGAATATAAATGTCTTAACACAACAATTATGAGAAAGACATGATGGCTATGTTAGCCATTTGGAGGAGAGTTTTCCAAACTGCATATGGAAGCAACACACTGTATCCTATGATAGAATTAATGTACACAATTATGATCTAAAAAAAAAAGATCATGAATCTTCATTCTCTTATCTTTTTATCCTTTTTTTCCCTCCCAGTCCTTTTCTTTTTTTCTTTGCTATCCATCTTTTATGTTTTTTTACCAGCACTCAGAGCTCCTGAGAATGTGCATGGAGGTTCTGGCAGGGAAGCACAGTTAAATAGATTCTACTAAGAGGCAGCAACTCAACCTAAGAAGGGCTTCTTCCTTGAAGAAGAAAGCTGTTTGGGGAAAAATTGACATAGAAAGGGCCCAGCCCCATCAGCCAGCTACCAGTGAGCCAATCAGCCACCACAGCCTGGAGAGCAATAGGAAGACAGCCATTGTAACAACCTTGCCCTCATAGCCAAAGTGCGCTAGTTCTGGCCATGTTTTTTGACTGTTTAAGCTGGTTAAGGGTAAATGCTGTTATATACATCAGACTTCAAAGCAGACTTTGAGGAAATTAGACCATCAAAAGCCAACCAGTCCTTACTGAGCATGGCTATGGAAGGTAGCACAGTAAATAATGGATACAATTCTATCCTTATAGGAGAAGGGACTTTAGGAAGTATACTGGTTAAGGGGAAATAAAACTTCTGGAGAAAGTTTGACCTAAATTCACAAGTGAAAAGAGGGGAAAGGAATAGTTTTGAATATTTTTTAAACTTATATTATTTTTATACAAGGTATACCTACTTGTCATACATATATAAATGCATGGATGCATACATACATAAAAAAGAGGAGCAAAAGGAAAAACAGCTTATTAATATATCTACAAATAACTGTTACTAATATTTTATGCACATCTAGAAATATTATATGCATATATGTATATATTTTTATAAAATGGAATAAAAAATGTTACTTTGATCACCTCTTTTTGTGTCAATAATTACATTTTTACATTACATTTTATTTTTTGAGAGAGTCTCACTTTGTTCCCCTTGGTAGAGTGCCATGGTATTGTAGTTTACAGCAACCTCGAACTCTTGGGCTAAAGAGATTCTCTAGCCTCAGCCTCCCAAGTAGCTGAGTCTACAGGTACCTACCACAATGCCTGGCTATTTTCAGAGATGGGGTGTCACTCTTGCTCAGGCTGTTCCCAAACTCCTGAGCGCAGGCAATCCACCTGAGCCTTGGCCTCCCAGAGTGCTAGGATTACAGGCATGATACGCTATAATTTTTAATATGGATGTACCAGTATATAATTAATCATCTTTGTGAACATTTAGGCTATTTTCAGTTTTTTACTATTATAAACAATGCTTTAGTTAATGTTTTTACATATATACATTTTTATATACTTGTTTAAAGGTTGTTTGCAGGATGTGCCATTATAAATGGTACTGTTGGATCAAAGTGTATGAAAGGCATACCTAACTATAATAATCTTTTCCTATATGGTTACTGCCTTCAGTGTCATGCTTAGGTCCTCTCTAATGTAATATTACATAGATAACTCTTTATATTCTCTTTAGATGTATGACAGTTTCATTTTTTAAATCTATAATCAATCTGGTATAGATTTTGGTATACAGTGTGAGGTAACGAGCTAACTAAAATTTTTATATTTTTCCCCCAAATAGCCATGGAAGGAAGAATACTGAAAGAAACAAGGACTCAAAGTCTTTTATTATACTTCACCTTGGGTCAAAAAACAGCTCCCAAACAGCTTCTGTTAGTGGACATGTGGTATATTCTTTAGAAAAAATAAGAATGCAAACTTATACACAAAATTGTTATTAGATTATATTACATTTTCCACAAGTGCCAATGAATATATCATTTCAGCAGCATAGGGAGTTCCTTCTTGTTCTAACATAGCTCACCAGGGCCAGACAATAATTCTTATGAGTTTCAACATGGACATCTAAGCTCTGGCTCTATACTTGTCAGGCCCATTGTTTTTGCTTGAGGCCATTGCAGTTTTCCAGCTTTTAGACAGAAAATGTCAGGAAGCTAGAGTTATCCCATAATAGAAGTGAACATCCTGACCCAGAACAAAAGCAGCAATGGATGATGAGTTCTGTAACATTTTATATATATTGATATATTTTATCTAGATACTGCAGAACTTTGTTTATACCTACATAGAGAACTAGCACTGTTATGTGTTTCTTTCCATGGTAACAAGCTGCATTTCTTTAGCACTCTAATTCTCCAAATTTGTAACTGTCATGCTTTTTGCAGGCATAAACCACAAATGCATCAGAGTGGGAAATATAGCTGTACCTACTTGGGATTGATTTGAAAGAAGTAAAATTGAGATCAGATAGATTTTGATCAATGTGGGCAGGTGGTTTTCCTATTTGGCATTAGGAAAAGAGGATCTTATAGTAGAATCAGGGCCATGGATGCCAGCAGCAGGCTTAGCGAGATTCTAGTCTTGACTCAAACACAAATGACTATAGGGCAAGAGACTTTTGCTATGGTTCTTCACCTGATAACTTAGAGAACACTATATTCTTTGTCTGTATTCAAGGCCTAGGGTTCTGATGAGGATCAATGGTATAAAACAAGCAAGCTAAAATTCTGTATTCAGTGAAATTATCCTTCAAAACTGCAAGATAAATAAAGACTTTCTCAGAAAAAACAAACTGAGAAAATTTGTGCCCATTAGACCTGCCTTTTAAGAAATGTTAACAGAATTTCTACAGAGAAATAAAATGATAAAGGTCAGAAAATTGTATCTACAGAAAGGAAGGAAGGGAGGAGGAGAGGGAGGGAGGAAGAGAGAGAGAGAGAGAGAGGGAGAGAGGACATTAGAGAAAAAATAACAAAGGTAAAATAAAGTACTTAATTTATTCTTTATTGATTTAACAGATAATAGTTTGTTCAAAATAATAATAGCAAAAATATCTCCCATGATAACAGCTTATGAATATGTGAAACAAATGCCAGAAATAGTATAATAAGGAGTAGGAGAGATTAATCAGGAATATCCTGCTTTAAGGTATTTGCATGACCTGTGAAGTGGCATAGTGTTATTGAAAAATGGACATGTATTAGACGTGTATTTATATTTCAAATTATAGGGCAATACCTAAAATTGTCTTTAAAAAGAAGTATAATTAATATGCTAAGAGAGGAGAGAAAATAGAGTCATATGAAATGCTTGATTAAAACTAGAGAAAGCGGAAAAAGAGTGGAAACCCCCCCAAAAAAAATAAAGAAAGAAAAGTAGAAAGGGGTGGAGGCAAGATGGCAGCCAGCAGCCAGCTTTCCACAGAAGCTCCTGACCAGAAGGAGACTTAAAGGACAGAAGTTTAGCAAGTAAGCTGATGGTTTGGAGCTGAGCCAAGAGAGAAGATTGAAGAACACATATCAACCTTGCTGAGGTGAGCTGGAACCCCCCCCAAATGCAATCAAAAGGTACAAAATCCACCACC